GCCCGAAGATCACCGGGACCACGCGCCCCGCTCGACGAGCCCGCGCCGCCCTCACGTGCAGCAGCAGTTTGACCCTCTCTATGGGGGCGACGGCGGTCTTGGAGACAGCAGCGGCGACGCCACCGGCGAGGAAGTCCTTTAGGAAGCTCAAAGCCTGATCGCTCATGCTGACAGCCGGGCGCACACCGCCTCCGGGAGCCGCGTTCTTGCTCTCTCCGCCCGGCCAGGAACGCCCTCCCCGGCTTCCTCCCTGCGCAACGCGAAGGGGCCGCTCTCCGGGCCCCGCAGGCCGCCTTATATCCCCCGCCCAGCCTCTCGCGAGAGGAGGAGGGCCCTGGGGCCGTGCGCGCCCCGCGCATTGGCTGGGCAGGTGCGCGGACCCCCCCGGCCGGCCACCTCCTCTGCAGAGGGCATCGGGGGCGAAGGCGCTTCCGGGAGGCAGGGGTGGGCCGGGGGCTGTGCCTTCGCTTGGGACGTTTAAAGGGCAAATTCATGTTATCTGTCCCGCGAGCAGAGGGAACACCGTGTCTCTGCAGCATGTGGGCCACTGTATTTATAGCACAAGGAGGTTTAGGCTAGGCCGGACCTGGACTCTGGGCCCTCGGCCTAAAGCCCGGCTCGCTTTATCTTCAGGCTCGCACGAGACCCACTCCTGGCCAAGGCATTTCGGCCCATTTTCCTTCTTCTTTGTAACTGTGTCCCTCACCAAAGCTTCCTGCCTGGATGTGGGCCTCTAAAGAGTTATGTGCTGTCACAAATCAATTAAGATCCGCCAAAATAAATACACTAACGTCATATGATGCTGTGATTGCTTCATGTAATCTGGCAACCTGCTGAATCTCCTTTTCTCTCCATTCAGTCGTTCAATCATTCATTCTGCTATCAAATGTTTATGTGCCTGGCACTCACTGCCACCAGGACAGGCCGAATGCAAGGAGCCACTAGGTGAATACTTGTCTTAGCAAGTTGAGTGTGTGTGTGTGTGTGTGTGTCTGTTGCTTTTTTGTTAGGTCAGCCTGTCACCCCATGACGCACAACGCCTGGTAACTCTTAAGAACAAGGACCTTATAGAACACCTTTTTTTTTTTGTAAATCCCTTAAGGGCTTAATGTTCCACTCTGCTCTCAATGGAATCTCAGCACACATTCTGAGCAGAATGTTCTCAGGCAGCTGGCAGCTTCTTGAGGGTCAGTGGTTTTACCCTTTCTGTCGGACTAGCTGAGTGACTGGGATGTTAAGTAAGACAAGGTCAAATCCTTGGCTGTATTTGCCTTTTTAATAGACACCTGGGGTTGGGGCGATATATGCTATCTAGTCATAGGAATTGATTGCAATTTTTTTTGATATACATTACTATGAGCTTTGATTTTCCTTAACTTATTTTTAGGCAATTCCTATAATCATACAGGTTTTCAAATACAGCTGTTACTTCCCCTAGAATCATTGCACTAAACTGTTTACACTACTCAATTCTCTTGCCAGGTTTGTTAATGTTCCTTTGAACGCTGGACAAAGTTTATTCATTTTTTTTTTCAACAGGCTTGCTGATGAGTGCAGACAGACATCATGTTAGGCACTGAGGGAGCTGCAGTTCAGTGTCACCCAGGGTCTGAAGGCTTCAGTAGAGCAGAGGTCACTTACTTGGGTGCCAGGACCACAACAGGTATGCATTTATCTGAAGCTGGAGCAGGCTTGTGGTCAGAAATCCAGGTGAGCTGTAGGAAAGCTAGCAAAGTGCAAATTTACTAAGGTCATTGCAGGCAGAAGGTCGAGAATTCAGCATAAAGAGGAAAGATATTTATATATTCATTCAACAAACCCTTGAGCACTTATCAAACACCAGGACCTCAGTTTGGCCCTGAGGATTTAATATGAGATATGGCTCAGTCCCCCAGAACCCCAAAATATTTCCACTACTCAAAGAAGTTCAGCAGTGGATATATTTGTCACTTGTGCAGATTTATCACAGCTTCACATATAGATTTTCATAGGTCACCATAATCCACATGTTCATCATTGTAATGATCATAGTATACTGAGTTCCATCTTGTTCATACAGAGCAGCTGCCTACACCATTTCCCTTTCAATTTTGCATGAGAGATGTGTCTTATTTTTATTATGAAAAGTAATACTTCTAAATAGATACTTCTGCACAGATTTCATTTCCCCCTTAAGTTTTTCCTTTTCATATATTCCCAAAATGGAATGAATAGATACAATATTTTTAAAGTTTTTCAGCTCCTGTATAGATTGAGAAATAGTTCTTCAGAAATACTGTATGATGTCACTTATATGTGGAATCTAAAAAATACAACAAACTAGTGAATATAATAAAAAAGAGATTCACAGATATAGAGAAAAAACTAGCAGTTACCAATGGGGAGGGGGTTAAGATTACAAACTATAATGTATAAAATAAACTACAAGAATATATTCTACAACACAGGGAATATAGCTAATATTTTATAATAACTGTAAATTGAGTATAACCTTTAAAAACTATGAATCACTACATTGTATACCTGTAATATATAATATTGTGCATCAACTATACTTCAGTTAAAAAAAAACATAGTTTCTTGAAAAAAAAAATGTGGAGCCCACCAGCTATGTAAATAGGCTCTTGTTTCCCACAGATCCTTCTCCAACACTGGCTTTAAAAAAAAAAAGGATCTTACAGTTTTTTGTGCCATTTTATGTGTTCTAACTTGCACTTCTTTAATTGCTATGAAACTGTGCATATTCCATATGATTCAACTTAATTTCTCAGCATTTTCCTTTGCATAAATTTTAATCTTCCTTGACCACTTATGCAATGAAAGCAGAGTTATCTGTCTGTATTTACAACAATTCTTTATACATTTGGGACAATATACATGTACTGAGTATTTTTCATTTTTGAAAAATATTCATTTTATTGCATTGCTCCAACAGCGTTATTTCTTTAAATACACACAGATCCAGAATATGATGATATACGTCCCATACTGGTATAAATATATCTCTTTGGTAGATATACTAGTTTATTTGCCCTAATAGATAATTAGTCTATCTTCTACTTTTTTGGTAGTTATTTTTTTTAAGTGTAACACTACGTTATATATTGTAAGGAGGTATGGTCCAGTTTCATTTTTTTTCATACCATTCTTGAGTAAGCCAATGCTAATTCTTATGTAGATATTTTCTTCTCTCCATTATTTGTCTTATATTATTAATTCTAATTTGTCATATAAGTGCTTATAATAGCTTTAATTTAAGAAGTCACCATACTATCATTTATTTGATCATCACTCTTAAAAAAAAGAGACAACTTATATGTGATCCCACAACCACTTAAAAAATAAGAGTTTTGTCTGCCTGTATGCCTGGATTTATTTTTACTGTCCAGTTGTTCAATTATTTAAATATCACAAGAAAAACATTTTAACAGACATGTAAGTTAAATGAAATGTTAACATATTAATTCAGGAAAGTTTATCATCTTTGTTACACTTAATTTTACCGATCAGAATTGTTGGTATTTTCTAACTAGGAGATATAATATTTCTTCTTGGCTTCTGTCCAATTATCCTGTCCCCTCAGGGGAGCTGTAGCTGGAATCCTCAACAAGAGGTTTTCCATGGAAATCCATACACTGTTCTCACCCTCCATGGACTTTCTCAGAAAGGAGAGGCCTCAGATGCCCTCAGAGGCACGAGCTGTCTGTGATCACAAGATCTGGGTATCACTTACACAGGCAGAGAGAGAATGACCTGCAGCAGAACATGTGTTCACCGGCCAATCCCAGTACTCGGTGGCCTTCTGCCAGCTTGAGAGTGGACAGGGCATCTGAGATAAGAAAGAAATCTCTGCTTTCAAATGCGGTGGGGTATCCTGGAGCCTGGAGGAGTAAGGGGCGGGCAGGGTTGGGTACAAGTAAGAGTAGGGTATTGAGCTAGACTTCTGGATTTTTCACGGTAGCTTTTAAAGAATTAGTCTCTTTTACCAAATTGGGACTGGAGAATGGGAGCTGCTAAAGAGTAAAAGGATAAGAAACACTTTAGGATTTGCTGATGATGGAGAGAACGCACTGCCTGTGTGTAGGTGACTCTAAAGCTGCTAGGATTTAGAGCACAATCTTGTGGTTTGTTCACATGGTAAACTCAGGCAATAAGCAAAGAGGAATGAATTTTGAACTTTGATTTTTTGGGGTCATATAAAGCCACATATGAATTGCTGAATTTCAATCAAGGGTATTTAGTAGACTCATTCATACCCATGCACTGATGCATAGTTTCCAAAAGACAAAACAAAACAAATGCAATATTGCTCCACAATTCTTGTTCAAGGTAGCTTAATTAATTAGAATACCCTAATTAACAAATTGTTTACAATCAAGCAACTTAATAGTTAAGTCCTTATTAAAGCTCACACACACATACCACATGCCTTCAGAAATCATGCATATTCATGCAAAATGCTCCAACTACCAGCTCCTGCTTAGCCCATGCCAAGCAAAACTTTGAAAGTAGAAAATCTATCCTCTTTTTTTTAACCCATTTGTTCGTTGTAGACTCTTCTTATCCTTTAGTGATCAACTCCTTTGGGTAACCACTCTCTTCCTGCTCGTATCCATCAAAACAGAAATTATCTCAATCATTCACAGCTCATTCATTCATTCATTTCTTTTCATCTTTGAGCAAGAATTATTGAATGCCCGCTCTAAACACCAAACACTCTGTTGGGTACCAGGGATACAAAAATCATGAAGGTTAAGATCGCTGCCCTGGAGAAGCTCACGTGGTGGGAACAGACACACTGGTGTTGCCTACAGAGCCCTTCCAACGTGGTGAGACAAGGCTCCATGCAGAGCTGTGGCTGTAACTTCCCGCTGAATGACTGTCAACATGCTACCCTAGTCAGAACTAGTATTTTTAACGTTTTATGAATGCTTATGACAAAGACGTTTTGTTAGAAGGATTTTAGGTGTGATTATTTAAAGGGGGTGATTTCTGGGAAGATGAGTCGCTGAATCATAAGAAAGATGGTCAGATGGATTTCTTCTCCCAGAAGGCCCTCCTCCCCGGAGAAACTGGCTCAGCAGTGCTGAAGGCAGGGAGCCTGGGTACTCTCAGCCCCTGCAGCCTGTCCTCAACTAACAGAACGGGACAGCCCCTTCCTAAAGGAGGTCCAAACCTCTTCTCTCCCACGTAGGAGCCCTCTCTTTACTTTATCCACGACTCCAATAACTATATTCAGATTCTGCAGTGCAGTTAAGGTTATGTTTATGCACGTGTAAGAATGTCTTCTGGCCATAACCACCCACCCTCCCTGTTTCACTGCCTTCTGGCTTCACTGAATCGTAGCCTCTGTGAATAAAGCCATTACTCACCTGGAGCTGACTTGATTGGTTTTCTAAGTACATTTTGAACTGGCTTCCCCAGGATTTAGTATTTCCTTATCCTAGCAGTTTTTTATTTTTCTTTTTAAAAAACACTTGCTTTATTCCTGTTATGATTTAAATCAATGTTTAATAACTGTTATCAGAGAGACCATTTTTGCTCACCGGTGCTGTTGAAGAGCAACATGGAGTCTTTTTCCCCATGTGCTGGCTTTTACCCCATGACCTTTTCCTTTTTCAGTCAGCTAGACATCCTGTGTCACTGCCTCAGAAAAAGAAAACATTCCGAAAGCAAAAAAAAAAAAAAAAAAAAAAAAAAAAAAAATAGAGTCTGTTCTCGGCATTTGGATTTCCAGAGGAAGGGAAAGAATTCCAGTCTACACAGGAGATTTGGTGGAATAAGTGAGGGAAAGCAGAACTTCCTGCCCAGCGCACCCTTCCAAAGATTGCATCAGGTTTTCCCAAACCTGGGGAGAAAGAAGGAAGGCTAGAGAGAAAGCAAGGAGTGAGATGTTAGTTTGGGTCTTGAGAAGATGGTGTCCCCTAACCTCCCCAGCCCTGGAGAGGCAGCGAGAAGCCAGAGGAGACAAGGCTGGGTGGCATTTTAGGACACAGGTCAGAGAGACAGCCTCCCAGAGTTCATTCATCATGAAAAAGAACAGGAGGACAAATCTCAGTCACCTGCAGGTCAGCCTGCTTGGGTGAAGGACCCTAGAAAGCCCCATTAGGTTTCTCCTGCCCCTGTGTGATGTGGGAGCTGTGGGATAACATTTTCTACCCAAGGACACCAAAGTCAGCCGAGGGCGAGCCAGACCTGAAGAGCCCCGTGGAAATGAGGCCAGTGTCAGGCGTGACCTGACGGAGCAATGACTGAAGACGGGACAGGGAGAAGGAGGGCCCCGGCAGCTGATGCCAGCACGGGTAGATCCAGATCACACGCCTCTTCCTCCCCAGCCTTCGTACCAGAACCATCCTTGGAATGCAGATGGAATCCACCGGAAAGCAGTGGAGAGAGAAGGGGACCCAAACTGTTTCCACCACTTGGCAGAGTGGAGTCTCTTCATAGAAATTAAATTGCTTTGCACAGCTGTTTGTGGAGCAATATTCGTGCTTGCTATAGTATTTTCTTAGTTTTAAAAAAAACAATAGCTAAAGACTTGTCATAATTTTGGAAACTCTTAAGGGTTGCTCATTCCATCAAGCACATTTCTTTAAGGAGACGCAGCCAGGGTGAGTGGCTATCGCTTGGTAGGATGCGTACTTAGCATGCACGAGGTCTGGGGTTCAATCCCGAGTACCTCCATTAAAAAAAAGGGAGAGGAAGTCTTAAATGAGAATGTGTGTGTGTTTTAGGGGAGGGAGGACCTTCAGGGTCGTTTCCTCTATAAATCACTATGAAACTCCAGCTTGTGCATTTGTATTAAATGGCTAAATAAGTACAACAAATGACTCTTTTAACACATAAGCTCCATGGTAACTTTCTGTTGAATGACAGGGAAATACCATGCTTCAATTTCTAGTGCACTTGTTCTTAAATTTTTCCAATAATAGAGCACCTAAAACCCACCCTAACTTTTGTGGACACTTAGAAGTGCAGGTATATGGGATTTTGTCATATAAAGTAGGAGTAAATATACTGGCAGAAATATGACTGTCTATGATGTGCATCTGCCATATAAAATCATAGCCATTTCAGTGCTGGGTTTGTCCCATTTCTCCTTACAGTTCTGTCAAATTTTCCTTTATATATTTTAAGGCTTTGTGGGGTTTTTAATATTTTTTTATTGAAGTATAGTCAATTTACAGTGTTGTATCAATTTTTGGTGTATTGCGTAATGCTGCCATCACACATGAACATACATATATTTGTTTTCATATTCTTTTTCACTGTAAGTTACTACAAGATACTGAATGTGGTTCCCTGTGTTATACAGTGTAAACTTGTTGTTTATTATTATCTGTTTGCTTTAGACTGGTAGTCATGTAGGTTCAAACACATCCTAAAAAGAATGAAGAAAGAAAAAAAAAGAAAGAGAAAAAAACCTATGTTTCCTTGCTCCCTTCTCCCACCTTTCATGATTTTGATGTCCTTTTTTTATTGTTGTTGTTATTTCACATCTTCATGTTTATTCCCTTGCAACTCATTGTAGTTATTGCATTTCCAATTATGGTTTTCTCATTTCTATAGCTTCCTGCTTCTTTTCTATTTAGAGTACACCTTCCAATATTTCTTTTAGGATAGGTTTAGTATTGCTCAATTCTTTCAGTTTTTTCTTGTCTATGAAATTCTTTAGCTCTCTTTCTACTCTAAAGGATAGTCTTGCCAGATAAGAGTATCCTAGGTTGCAGCTTTTTCTCATTCAGGACTTTGAATACATCTTGCCGCTCCCTTCTGGCCAGCGATGTTTGTGTAAAGAAATCAGCTGAAAGCCTATGGGGGATCCCTTGTAACCAACTCTTAGTTTTTCTCTTGCTGCATTTAGAATTATTTCTTTATCTTAAAGCTTGGCCATCTTGATTATAATATGTCTTGGTGTAGGCCTGTTTGGGTTCTTCTTGTTTAGGACCCTCTGTGCTTCCTGTACTTGGATATCTGTTTCCTTTTTTAGGTTTGGAAAGTTTTCAGTCATGGTTTCTTCAAATACCTTTTCAATTCCCTTTTCTCTTTCTTCTCCTTCTGGGACCCCTATTGTGTGTAGGTTGGGACACTTTATATTATCCCATAGGTCCCTTATATTGCTTTCATTGTTTTTTACTTGTTTTTCTGTCTGCTGTTCTGACTGGGTCACTTCTGCTGTCCTGTCTTCTAAGTCACTTATTTGTTCCTCTGTATTATCTAGTCTGCTTTTGATTGCCTTTAGCTCAGCTCTTATCTCAGCCATTGAGTTTTCTCTTTTTAATTGACTCCTCTTTATAGTTTCTATTTCCTTGTCATAGTATTCTTTGTGTCTATTCATAGCCTCTCTTATTTCCTTCAGTGCTTTTATCACCTCCTTTTGAAGTCATGATCTAGTAGACTGTCAAGGTCTATCTCATTGTTCATTCTTTCAGGGGGCTTCTCTTGTTCTGTTAATTGGGAGTGGTTCCTCTGCTTCTTCATTTTACTTATATCTCTCTGGCACTATGGATTATGGAGTATCAGTTTATCTACTGTGGTCTTTTATTTTTTGTTTGTTTTTATTTGAAGTGGGAGCATTCCTTTGCAGACTACGTGTATCTAATAGTTTTGTTGCGATGGCTGTTCTCACTACGGTCAGTTGCCATGTCTTTCTTCCGTGTGTGCTGGCTGTTATCCTTTGATTGGGGGTGTGGTTGGTGTTGTGATCAGAGCCTGCTCTGATTGTTGTTGTTGAGCGGGGCCTCCTTTTATGTTCTGTGGTTTTCACAGCCTTGACAGGGGCTGGGTCTGCTCCCCTGATGCGGGAATAGAGGCTTCTAGACCTGTTTCTGATCTGTGGTGTGTGGTAGGCAGGGCTGGAGCACTTCAACTGTGAAGAAGAGTCCACAAGAGATGTCCACTGGGCAGTGCCCTCTGTGGTGTTGTCTGTCACTTGTCATGTGGGCTTACAGAGTACTCTTTGTTGATGCTGCCTTCGTTCCCATCTTAGCTGTGGGAATGTCAGGCACCTGCTCTGGTGTCCCTCAAGTTCTGGGCTCCAGGAACCACCAGTGCAGATCCACCAATGTCAGGCACTAGGACCCGCCTAGTGAGTGTGCAGCCACACACCTGAAACCACAGGGAAGCGCATACCCTAGCCCTGCCTCCCCATGCAGTACAGTACACCCGCCTGTTGTAAATAGGTACTTGCACTCACCCCGCTGCATGCCAGAACGCTGCTCACTGCAGGTTCCCAGAGGCACGGGTCCACAAAGCATCCAGAGAGAGCGAATTTGCCCTCTCGGCCTGGGGCTGTAAACACATCCCACTCCCACCTGTGAAGGTGCAGGGCTGCTGGGTATGGATTCCACTTGCAGCCCCGGCTCCGCGCAGCAGCGACGGCTATGACCGAGCCCCACCTCTCTTCGCCCCACCTCTCTTCTCGCGAGAACACGCCAACTGTGGAGCCGCTGCGGAGAAAGCGGTATGGCATGGCTGCGTTGCGCCCCCCTCACACACACAAACAGTGGTGTATTTTTTTTAGTGGGGGGTCCCCGACTGTTCTGTTCTGCACACACCTCCCAGCCAGAGCTCACACTGCCCTCCAGTCCCGAGGCCGCCTCTGTGCAGTGGGCCCTTGCCCTCTGCCTGGGCTCCTCATGGATCTCCAGCAGCGAGTCCCAGTTCGCCCCTGCCAGCTGGCTCTAAGGCTGGGGGTCGCAGGGACCCTCCGTTTCCCTTAGTTCTGTCTGCCAAGCGGTGCCACTTTCTCCTCTGAGCCTCCGAAGCCCCGCTGACCTCCTGGCTGGAGGGGGGCATTCCAGCGTGAGGGTGCCTTTCTTCCTATGCCGCTCCCTCCCTGCAGGACTGGTCCTGCA